AGACAACCCCGTAACAATATGCGTTTTGTACTGCTGTTACACAGCACAAAACGCATAAAAACGTATTGTCTGATGTAAAATTTGTCATGCTGAAGATGATATGCAGGAGGTATGCAGCTCAGGATAAAAAGGTTTGGCTCAGCTGAGATCTCAGTGAGGATTGCTAGCAGTGGCGAGTGTAATCTTCTGCGGGAGAGGGTGATTTTTCACCTCCCCCTCTCCTTACCTCTCACCCCCTCCTCCCCTCTCGCCAACGGACACTAAACTAAGACGAGCAAGGCTCCTGGGTGGGCGATAGGGGGCATTGGACAGACTTTTATACAGTAAAACAACTGCTACCTGAGCTCCTGTGAGGAAAAGAATGGCCCATTCCCTCCATCCCCCTCCCCCTGCATCCGCCAATGAATGGAAATGCAGCTGAATCAATTGTGAAACTGGGAAAAATAATGAAAAATTCTCGAAATACATTCCTAACCTTCAACTGCATGAAAACAGATTGTGGAAAGAGTTGCCCAGTTCTCATTACTGGATGCCCAATCCATTGCTTTACCACGATCCTGTTGTTGAACAATTTCACAAAGCGATTTCACTTCTTCCTAAATCAGTTTTCTTTTAATTTTGACAGATTTTTTAAATTTTTTCTTAGCAATTTTACTCGCTTTTTTTAAAATTATTCGCAGAGCAAAATTCCAGAAAATGGGAAAATTAAAAAAAATACTTCCCACGGATTTTTTTTTATAAAGTTACACCCCGCTTTTTTGTTTTTACTTTTATCTTTTTACTACTTTTTCCATGATCATAAAATATCTAAATTTTAAATTCTTGTTAAAGTTTCTTGCCCTTCCCTAGTTAGTTATCTTGTCCGAGTAAGTGCTGACCTATTTTTCGTTACAAAAACCTTTTCTAAGCGCATCCCAAGAATTTTTTAGAAAAAATGTACTGTAAAGGCGAAGCCTTCGTCTCTACATCTCAAATTTTGAGGGGGAGGGGTTAGGGGGGCTGAATAAACGAGTTCGTTTTCTTGTTTCTAACAGATTCTCGACGTGAAATACCTTTATGTGAGCTTTTTCAAACGTTATCGGTTCCGAATCATCGATGTGAAAAGAAATATCGGGGGATAATCGGTCTAGGAGTTGATCAAACATTATCTCTTTTATATTAGTTTCACTCAGTCCAACAATTGCGAATTGGAGGGTGGGGAGACATAGTACCCACGTACGGGCCCAACAAAGTTTTTTTCGGGCAAGTTGCCAACTCGGGAATCTGAGAAGCTAGAAGACTGAAATTTTAAGAGGATGTTCCGCATCCAAATAGGTATGAATGAGCTCAAACCCAGACACCACGTATGCGTGGTACCCACGCAGGCCACGACTTTACAGTGCCATAAATTAAAAATTTATTTTGCAAATTATTCGTTTCAGTTTACATATTAAAAAAAAAGTGCTCCATTACCTTAGAAAATTTAACAATATTATTATTAAGCAGGAAAAGCAGGAAA